CTTCGAGTATGGAGCTCCCCAGACTTCTGCACTAAGGCTCATCCTGCTCCTAATATATGCGGAAGATTGCATCCGAAATGTGGACCGCAACATATTTTCAATACTCCGCCTAGGCAACCCCGGCCAGATCTAACAACAGTAGAAACTGCTCTTTCAACGGTGCAGCTCTTCAAGACGTGGGAACCGAAACGGACCTCGGTGTGCCGCAGAGACATTCCTTTAAAACCGTCCTCTCCTTGCTCAAACTTAGGGAAGAACGCATTTCATCAGAAGAATCTTTTTTGGTTTTTATGAAGATATTTTTCTGAAGATTTTCGAAACATTCTTGAGGCCGCATTTGGAGTATGCTGTACAAGACTGAAGAAACTGGACAGCTAAATAATCTTAATCTCTATCACCTGAGTTATAGACAGTTACTTGTAGACGTAATACAAACTTTCCATGTCCTTTGTGGCTTGGACTGCTCCCTTCTGTGTGACGACCTTTCCCAACTCGCCCCTACAACTTATTTCCGGAGACATTCCTTCAAAATACATATGCCCCAAGGCCAAATGGACGTGAGACAGTATTTTTTCTCCAACCTGGTCATGTAACCATGGAATAACCTACCCAGGGCGATTGTTACGTTCCAATGTGTGGAGCAATACAAACAATGACTTGATACACATATGCTGCAGCACAATGTGAACCATGTGAGTAATCGGCCTTAGAACACCAGTCTACATTTACCTGACTCTAATTTATTTATATTTTTTCTAGTCATTTTTATCAGAAGAATAGAGAGTTCCAAGGCGTAAGCCTATTTTACTCAAATACACTGACTGATTGACTGACAGTTTGGTATCAAGATCACTACCTCATTAGGCCAAGGGAAACATTGTATTTAGTCGGGCCTACAATTCCACCCTTATGGAAGGAGCTACGTTGTTAGCATTAATTTCGGTAGCCTACTGTTGTTGAAGCTTTGGCGATCGTTGGAGCTCCGAACTAGGGACTTGTTGATTGCTCCTGAATCTAATTTCCGATGTTTAAGACCGTTCTTATTGTTAATGGCCCCGGAAAATCCGGCATTGTTCGGTAGATGAAGTACGGAGCAGATGAGTATTTTAAAACCTTTAATCTCATGTTCACTAGTCAGAGGGTGCTTCAGGAGATTTAAATTTCCAGCCCAATTTGGGTACTTGCACGTGATGTCTTTCATTTTCGGTTAAATTCTTCCCCTCGTTGCTCGTAGTGCACGGGTAACAATGCGTCCACCATTGCAATTGATTGCGCGGTGGGTTACAGTTAACTCACCAACATAATTTTCATGGTTCTTATGACTAGATAGTAGAGCGAATACTTCAATTGTTCACGCAATTAGACGACAGGGATCGAAATACGATCGTAGTGTACTTTTTGCGATCGAAAGTAATCGGAGGACAATGATCCTATCAAACTGGTGGCGATATAGAATATTTTATAACTAATATGGCGCAATAATTCGAGCGACGATAGCTATGAAACAAATTTTAAAATGACTCAGACGCTTGTAAGTTTCGTTGGCTATAATAACAGATGCAAGGAAATAAGTCCAACGGAGTAAATATATTCTCTGCGGAACTGTTAGAGGATTAAGGCATCGATGAGGTGAACTCGGTTTCTGACTTCCATACATATGTCAAAATTTCGTTCTGAGACTGTTGATTTAACTGTTGCCTCTATACTGTTTTACGGTTACATAATCCACCGATTGTTTTTAACGCAGCTGCACGTATTGTACTCTTTTTTTTCGGTGTCACACTCACACGTCCTTAAGTTAACTCATAATTATTAAATTTACGAAAATCCCCATTGAAAAATTCAGAAGATGAATTGGCGAATATACGTTTATTTTCGATAATTCTCATCCAAGTGATCTACAAGGTACCTTAAAGCTACTCAAATCTTCTTGGACAGCGTCTGTTGGCTACGGCAGAAGCGGCCGCCATCAGGCTACGCTGACCGGTCCTTTGCGCCTAAAAGAATTTTGCGACTATGGTCAAAAGCTGCTCATCCAACAGCCAGCAGCTTAGCACCCCAACCGATTACCTGTTCCCCCTAACGCTGATCAAGTTTTGACCCCGTTCCCCCCCATTCCCCCTGCCCTGACAAGCGTTCTATTTTTTCTACCAACCTGCATAGTCTATTTACTTAATTACCATATAAATGGAAAGGCCTAATGAGAATTATCGAAAACAAACGTATGTTCGCCAATTCATCTTCATAATTATTAGATTTATACCTAATTAACGCACACAATATTTTGTAACTTGTCTTTTTAACGCTTACGTGACGGTGCTTATTTGCAGTCCTCTTCATCCAAATCCCGTATACTAGTTTCTGACATGTATTTTTGCTTAGCTTCGTTCTAATTACGTCAGAATGTTGCATGGTCAATAGAGAATTCTTCAGGCCCCTGAATCCGAGGCAACACATGGAGTTTATATAATCTGCCATGTGTCATACCGTATCTTACAGACTAAGCTAGTAGTGCTGTTTTTGTATTTTCGATAAAATAACCTTCAAAAATGCATATTCTCTGTAATTAAAAGAGACTTAACTCTCCGATTTCGTCATCGAAACGTTTTTGATATTCACTGGTGCCTATTCTGCTTAATATGTTTATTTCGCTTGAAATAAAGTGCTTCTGGCAGAGGCGCGTGCATCAAACTACAAATATTTTCCGATGGCGGGTTTTGATGTGGGCGGTGTCTACTACTCAGATAGTCTTCTTGGGCAAACAGCCGATCAAGATAACTTTTCAAATCTCCAACAGGCGAAGACCAAATTTAAGGAGTTCTTGCGTCAGTACAATGTCGGAGGTCTCAGCTTTACATACAGGTTCTCAATAATAGCGATTAAACTAGTCTAACCATTTCCAGAGACCATTTGAAGAAAAATTACAGCATGAAGCTTTACAATCTGCCTCTAAACTTGCGCGATCTGGCTAATTTTGATGGATATCTTGCCCAGGAGCTTGTTCAGTGTCCTGCAGATTACATCGCATCGGTAAAAAGTAATTTTCTAATGTGCGCAGTTTGAGGAAGCCGCCACTGAAGTTGCGAATGAAATCATGAAGTCTTCTCTACAAACAGAC